CAGCTCTACGGCCTTCACCTTAGTTGGTTTGCATTTAAACGTGTTTTATTACAAAGTGTAATAAATGTTTTTGCCCGAGTTTACTTCAGCGCGGTATTGGCATATATTTTCTTCCAGACTATGTTCTACATTTGTGCCAAATTTCAGTGAGATCTGTTAAACTGTTCTGTTCATAATATTAGGTAAATAAATGACAAAGCGTCATTGCCTGATACGTTGCTCCAGAATGAAAAACAATGTATACAACATTTACTCTAAAAGTATTTTATTTGACTTGATACTTCTTTAAACAACTAGTCCAATTATGCGCAGTAATTATAACATACTTAAAAACATCATTAAGATATATATTTTAGGCGATACGAGTTTACATTCCAACCACCATGTATGGATAGATATAATACTATTTGTTTTAAATGTTTTCGTTATTTACGGATGACATACGTTCATTAACAATGTGGCCAGTTTTATTACGAAAATAACTTAATCTAACATTGTATCCATAAAGTTATAACAAAGTCAAGCACTTTACTTTTGTGGTTGGGAACACACCTGCTGACCACAGTCTGATCTTTCATAACTGTGTAGAATTCTTGTATGGTACAAATCACACGCATTCCATTAATTATTTATATCAATAATACGTTTAATTTGTTGACAAGGATTTGTAATAAATTGTACACAATACTGTGAGAACATTTATTCCGGCAATATGGTCTAATTGGTCTTTGTAACCAATTCTATTTAAATGTAAAACATAATTTAAGAATTTCAATTTGTCTAAAATTATAAATTTAATAAGTCTATCTGAAATCAAAATGCTAGTCTAAATTAAAAATAATAAGAAAATCATTTTAATAACATTATTTTTAACAATATTTAAAACTATATAGCGCGATGCATATTATCCGCAGCACAAGTAACGTGCGATAATAATAATTTACTATTCAATTGATATAGGTTAATTCGCTAAATCCAATCAATTGAATTGTACGCACTCAGAAGCACGCTATTCTGTACACGTATGTTATTCTTTTAGCGTGAAGTCACTAATGTTGAAAATATTCATCTACAGGAGGCTCCCGAACATTGAGATAAATTAATTATAAATAATTACTATGTAACAGATGTTAATTTTTGTAATATTGACATTTGTTCACTCTTAAAAGTATATTTAACTGTATTAACTTGAAAAACAAATGAACAATAAATTGTTATATGGACTGGCTTCAACTTCAATTGCTTCATAAACGGTTTTTTTATTTGTTTTATTTAAGATACTAGCTTTCTCCCGCGACTCTGTCAGCGAGGCAATTAAACAAGTTTCCAATAGATACAAAAACGTTAAGCCGCTAACTATCAAATAATTTACGAACACCAAAAATTTGACAAAAAGCTTATCGACTTTAGATGTAAGAATGCTAATTATTCCAATAATGTCCTACAGGACATCTGCATCCGTTTATATATACATTAGGCGCTTAGAGAAAATTAAATACAACTTAAGTATTAACACTTCAGCTTCAAGGTGTCTGGGGTAATTGAACAAGCACGTTTTCGATGTTTACGAGTGAAGGTAAAGCCTGAATTCGTCGTTACGTAATATTAATTGAGCTATTTTCAATGAATTCAAGAATCTCGCTTTCGCTTCAATCGAGAAATACAGGTGTAGTTATCCTGAGATATTAAAAATCAATGTTTTATTTCACAAGGTATTGAACTATTCTAAGAAACGAACTACATTAGTTTACTTTGTATAAAAGTACTATTTTGTATTCAAAGACAGAAATTACATAGTTGGAATCAGCTCACCCTATATACGAAATGGTTGTAACGTCAATATTATTGTTTACATGATTGTTTTCTTCGTCATCTGAAACTGGAGGCCGTCTTTGAGCCGCGCGGACGTCAGTGACCAAAGACAATTTAAAAAATGTATAATTACGTGCGCCAAGTTCAATGAACTTTTATCATTTTTTGGAAAGTAAAATGTGAGTGGGCAAGATGCTCGGTGGCGGGAACCTGGTGCGGTGCGAGCGGTATCGAAAGACGCCGCGGACGCCCCGCTCGTCCCATGCTCGCTACTACTACACGAGGTCCCTTGTGCTAGATACTAGGAATAGACCAAGGCAACAGAGACTAAGGTGAGCTGGACCTGGTTTATATAGGACCTGTTTCGAACAGTATTTCCAAGCACATACCGCTCTTAAGAAAAGATTCTACTGCTGCCGCAAACGTCAATGACGGTGGATTATGTTGTGGACGAGCGAAGCTAACTTTAACAGTAATCGTTGTTAGGAGTTATAACAAATGCTAGAATTACCAAACCTTTACAGTTGTACAACATAACACATTTATATTGTATCTCTCTTAAGTTCTTGGCAACGTTATACAAACTCTTGAATTTTTATTTCTTGTTTGATAATTATTATATCCAAAGTGTTGCTTTTGCGAAGGATTGCGTATATGTGCAATATGTTATTGGAGTTAATTATGATACTTACTATTAAGTACCAAAAAGCAGTACCAACGTAAGAGAATTTTATGATGTAAATGTTTTCTTTAGTGAAAATAATACATACAAATATTTAACGCTTAAAAACAGTTTGGTTTTATAGTACACATAGTATTAACATATAAGGGTCAAGGAAATGCTATATGTTATTTTTTTATAAACATAATGATTTCTTGGATGTCCTTAATTCGTAAACATACTGACGACAATACGTGCCGCGAGGAAGTTGTGCGCAACAGAAAATTACAAGAAAAGCATTCAGTACAAGCATACGAATATCATTTATGTTTTGTTTTTTTTTCAACAAAGAAATACCTAGTCTTACTCTAGGTTTTAATAAAAAAATATCATCCATCGTATTCTCTTTTAAAAACTTTTAAAACGAACAATAATATATTGTGAATGTGTTTGTGTGTTTTAACAGCAGCATTTTACGGTTGCCATAGCAACAAGAAAGGAAGCCACCGTTCCTAAAATATGATGACGTATATTTGTTCAAATTAATTCCATTCCTTAATAAAAAACATATAGACAAGTGATATATGCATTCAGTCTGTCTGTCGCGGTATTAGACTGTGACGTTAATCACACAAATTCACGGCATTTAATTATCGTCGATTTACATCCAACATAAAATTAAATTTACATCGTCTATCGATTGAACGGATCCTTACAAATTAAGTTATAATATTTCTATTATTTAAATGTATGCCACATGAATTATTACGATGTCAAACTGGTATAACTTGTGATATCTCATAAAAATTGGTCACACATTATATCTTTCTTGTTTTGTTCATTCTGTGCCGAAACATTTGCCCTCCCTGTCCTCCCTCGCTTTCTCTAGAAGAAAAACAGAGATAGTTATATGTGTATGCAACGGAGTTTTAACATTGTTAACCTACGGTTATATTTTTTCAATAGAAATATCGAATGCAACATTATTTATAGAATGTTTAACACAAAAAAGTAATGAAGAATTTTGTTATAGTATACAAAACCTCTAATAAAAACACTGTTAAAAACACTTAAATGAAATAGTTTGTTTCTTTGTATCCCCCAATTGTAACAAATACCGGTAGAAAACTCAACAGTATAAAAGGCTTGATAAAGTAATATTGTATAGAATGTGAGTATAGTAAAAGGTGGTTCGCCTCGTCGAGGCTCTTTGGAGGATAAGGACGACAAGTTACGTAGAAGTCTACATTATTATGTACTCTTACTAAATAATAATATATGCGAGTAATCTAATCAACGAATCGCTCTTGCGACATCATTAAACTATTATAGAGTTTTCTGTTCTTACGTTTTAAAAGTAAAGCTGTTTATTGCTAAGATATGTGTCAAAGTAACTTACGTATATCCCTTAGTTGCAGATCTAGTCCTAAAGTAAGTCTAAATAAAATCTGAAGTAAGATTTCTATATTCTAGTATTTATTTGTTTATTAAACTTTATCTGCTGTTCTTACGAGTTTTTATTACACGCATACGGTACTATTATTATTCACATTATTTGTTCACTAAAATACTATCTAGTAAATAGTAACTACAAATTATTTCCCACTTTTAAATTTACTTTTTGTTGTGTACAAGATAAGAAATACAAAATAAAAATAGATAAGAGTCGTGCTTTGCTAATTTAAAAAAGACGAGGTCACACTTCAGTGATCACAACTAGGAATTCAAAATGGATATAAAGTGAACAGTCACCTTTATGTAGCTAATCCTATTTAGGAAGGCGAATGGCCTGGTTACTGGTACATTAGCCGGTCTCAATCCACTGCCCATAACATCTAATTACACGACTATATGGTGGACAGTTTCAAGGATATCTACCATAATTATACTCTATTATAAACATTTTAGTTAAATTTTCATAGAAAATTGTTACTAGAATTCAATGTATGGTAAATAAAGAATATTTGTTCGCTTACCTTATTACTATAAAACCCATAAGAAATAACTTGTAATTTTATTATCGATCAAAAAACACTACAAATAAATACGAAATCAAAGAAGAGAACATTGGACATATGAAAAATGATAATCTAAACGTTTTTGTCATAAACACTGAAACACGGCCACTAATTGTTGTTTAAGATACGTAAAATGCGAACGCCAGTAAATCGCAAGCAAGTTGAGTGCTTTATCTCCAGCAATTTGCAGCTGGCATTCCAGTTTATTTTCAAATTGAATGTAACTCAAAATCTAAGGTTATACTTTCCTCCGAACAATTGAGTAGAGAGATAGAAAGCTGTTGTTTTAAAGTGTGTATTAGCCAAAAATTTTATTGAAAACTATAACTTTACGTTGTACGAATTATTTCTAGATTTTTTCTTTTACACTGCAATGGAAATGGATTGATGGCAATCTAATCGGACAGTCGGTCGATTATAATAACTAAGCATTTTTTCCTAACATTACATGCATAATTTACTACGTAAAAGAAATCTATTTTTTTCTAAATTATTTTATATCTTTGCAGATGTCAGTCCGCTCCAAAAGTAATGGATAGAAGCCACAGTAGATCGGCGTCCCCCCGGGAGCCGGCGCGGCCACAACACAGACCTCCCTCGCCGCCCTCGCCGCCCGCCGCCTTTGACAACAGAGCCTACGAACACGACGACTACGACCCCAATCATAATGACTTCGACTCCACCGGACCCAACCAGAACGGTCACACCAAAGAGGTCAACGGAGATACCAAAACTCTCGAAGCTGTCAATTTGGAACTAATAAACTTAACCCCTAAGAACGGGACGTCAAAACAAAGGAAAGACGTCGAGGTAGATATGAACACGAGCAACCCGTACGACGAGTACTTCGTGCCGGTCAATGAGCACAGGAAATATATGAGGTTTGTGGTTTTTAATACCCTCATTTATTTTATCTACACGAAGGATTAGTCAGAGGAAGTTTCGGGTTTATTTTCGTTCACTACGTAAGAAGGAACCAGATAAAACTTTTTTTGTCAACTTTTTATGTTAAATAGTAACAACTATTAAGTTTTGACTGACCTTGACCTTTGACCTTGAGTTGCAAATACGCTGATAACTTAAACAGGACTGACAAAGAAGATAATAAGACCGGGATATAAATATCCAAAATTAATATCCTAGTCTCATTATCTCTATCTAATATTACCTCTAAGCGTAAGTTTAAAGAGTTGCAGATTAATTTAATTTGTTAACACCAAATGATTTATTACTAATATTATAAAAAACGTCTGATCTTTCATATCAAAAGTATAATATTAAAACTAAAATCTGTATAATATTTCCGACTCAAACAGCTGACATAAGAAAATTAATTGCCTAAGCACGATCTTTAGCATACATTTTATTGGCTTCGTTTTTAACTTTTCTGTAAGGAAAATAATAATTAAAACTTTGAGCTCAAAATTTAAATTGCTTTATTATATTAACATTTATTTCGTTATTTGTATTTTAATAGAGATAATGTCAAAAAACTGTTCTAACACGATGCAACGTTTGATTTTTATTCGTATCCTTATATTCCTATCGATTTAATTTACATACATTATAATAAAATTCAAATAATTTAGTACAAATTTCCCTAACATAATCTAAACTGTGCAATATTTCTCTCATTTTTGGTGTTTGTAGATCAAAAAGGCAATTCTCTTAAGTTTTGTTGTTATTGAAATTATTTGTGTAATATTTTATAAGAAAAACGAAGTCGGTTATAGCTTGAGTGTGCATTAAAATTGTTTCGTAACATTGTTTAGCTCGCTTCGTGATATTTTGTTTGACCTCTATACATCTAAATTCAATCTTTGGGGCGAGTAATTATTATTAATTGTTATTTTGATGATTTACTATAACATAACAATTACATAATGAAATTAGAATAACATATTGAATACAATTTATTAATGGTTACGATATAATGTGACAGTAATTATCTGAATAAAGGCTTATTATTATTTTATTATTATTACGATATTTGACAAAAATACTTACGTTAAGAAGAAATGGTTCTAATTAGACAACAATCAACAAACTAATTAGCATTTAGAGTATATTGTACTAATCTCTATTAAACTCTAATATACAGAGTTTAAGCACAGGGCCTGCCTGCCTGCTTGTGTAACTGTGTCCAATGAACTGTCATATTGTATTACTTTATGAAACTTATATTTTAGTCACGTCTCGTAATATAACTGTCAATTTATAATATAAGCTATGAGATACGTTACAGCTCGGATATAATACACTAGCACTCGCTCGCGACGTTGGCCGCGTGAAATTAAAAAAAATAGTAAATAAAACATAACCTATGTTACTCGTAGATAAAATACCTATCTATTGCTGTGAAAATATTTGAAAACGGACCAATAGTTTTTACCTGAATGGAATACAGTATTTATTACATAATACATCTAATTTTTACAGTGTTTTGTCTTGATTAGTTTTAAGGGATCATATTGAAACGAATCTTAAATACTTCGCCGTTTAATCTTATAATGTGAAGAGGTCAATTTTTTATGGAAATTGATATTTAAACATAGCCTTATCATTTAAAATAATTTTCCAAATTTAAATGTAGTTTCAGTATTCGCTGTTGGTCAATTACTACTACTCGTATAAGAACGAGATACTTTAATTTAATCCATTCTCTACCATCAAATATTCTCTGCGGTTCCTTTCCGCTTACAATGTTTAATGCCCACATATCAGTGGTAGCATTTCGAATTCCAAATACCCTAATATATCTTACAAAGTAATAATTTTACAAGCAAACATACTTCACGCATATCGATTACGACGGAAAATTTATCCTAAAATTAATAATATAAACAGTCAGGTACCCCGTCAATAAAAATCCAAAAGATAACTGGTTTTGAATGACATTCACAAAGCTGGCACCTATGGAAGGTCCGAAAAAACAACGATTTTTTTTTGACACACGGATGCGAAAATGAGTGATTATTTACCATTACACACATGTTACAGACAAGTGATGTTTAAAATACACTAATGAGTGGTGACTTAGCAAGTTCAAGGATACGATCTAACCACAAAGATCTTTGAACTTACATAATTTTTTATGTAACATATTATTAATATGTTGTGATCCTCAATCCAGTCCATGATATATGAGCATACATTAAAACATCTAATACGCTTTGCTATTTTTCTTGCGTGGAGAAATGCCTACGCATACCACTCTTACAAGGGTGCGTATTTCAACGTTGCACCGATCAAAACCCTACGATGCTTCCTGCCTTCCGCCAGGAACAAGGGATTGCTCATACACACAACCGTAATGCTGACGAACAACTCTAAATCAGTAGAGCCAGATCTACATTGTGTTATAACAACAATTTATTCCTTAGTTTTGAGGATAGTAAAACTGTACAAACTGCGTACGATACTAAAATATGACTGGATATATCTTTGCGTCCTTTACGCTAAAATCTAAATTTTACTATTAAAGATAACAAAAAGCATTGTACAAATATGTTTTGTATTATAGTAAAAACATTTAAAGAGTACAAGATTTGGTAAGCTTTAAGACCGTTGGCAGTTATTTCGAACAAGCTGGCCTTGGGATGCCTACAAGGCGCAAATGCTACTGGCGGAGTCCAAACAACCGTCAGCTGACATGAATATCAATTATAAAGATTTTTATATATATACCGTATATAAAATGCATGATACAATGATTGTTCGGTTATGTAAGATATGTATATTCTAGGTCCAAAACTTTATAATATTCTTTGTAAATTCGATATGTATGTCATATGAAATTCGATTCTGATTTACATGCATTTTAACCCCCGATATAATTTTCATTCCTACATAACACTTCCTAGAGTCGATAAAATATCAAACACGCAAACAAGTTTTAGATTGAACTATAATGTAGGACTTATATTAACTTTATTTTCCTTTCACACTAAAAATATTAAGAAAAATATATATATTGAAGTTCAAGTACAATTCAAGATATCTGCCATAAATTTAATTGGCCAATTTTCACATCTTTCCACGTGAATCGTGAAGAAATGGTCACTCTTACATAGATTAATTTAAAAAACGGACAATAAATCAAGCCAACATTTCATTATCTTATTAAACAAGACAACTTACGCCGAAGGTGGTCTAGTACTGGATTTACCGTGTTATGACGTCACAGAGTCGGTTAAGGACCGGCCGCTATCTCTGTATATTTAAAACTGTACCGACTAATTATGTCGTGTGTTAAGTAAAAGGCGATTTGAAAGGAATGCAGCCTGCGCCTAATAGCTGTCGCAATACTCCGGCCTTAAATGGTAACATGTACTAACGGCTGTTCTATTTATGAGAGTAACATTTTTTGTGACCACTAACGGTAGACGTAATTTAACTATGTACGAAGAGATTGCAGACCTGAAAAATGTTTTAGAACACCCGATAACTGTTATCTTATCCAAAACAATAAAGGAACGCAAGATTTCGGACTATTGTTTAATCAGACTAATATTATAAATGTGAAAGTTTAGATGAATGGATGTTTGTTAGAGTTTGTAGCCTACGGCTATACGGCTGAACGGATTTCGATGAAATTTGGTATAGATATAAAGGATAGTCTGGAATAACACATAGGCTACTTGCTTTTTTTTTAATTCCACGCGGACAGAGTCGCTTGCGAAAGCTAGTACTAACTATTTATTAAATAACTTTTAACGTAGTAACTATTATTACTGGACCACCGACACTGCTATCAATAAGGTCATAAAGTCGTTAAAATGACTTAAGCTAAATGTACATTACTAAATCAGTCTACCACAATTAGAAGATGTTTTACTTTATGATATAGTTTGGACCACACCTCTGTAAATACAGCTGTCAGGTGCAATCATTGACACAAACGTCTCATGTAAATTCCTTCACAAGCCAGACGTAACTTATTCTGGAGGAAAACTCATGTGTTTGAGAGGCAACACACAATAATCACAATGATATATGATTTACTTAAAACGCTCGAAGTGTACAATTAAAAAAGGTGCTTTCAATGCATTGGTTCAGTGAATTTTGGGAGGTAGTATTAACGAAGGATCTCTAAGCTTCTTAAGTTATGGAGCTTAACCCGATTGTCGATACTTAATCTGTCGTAACTCTTCAACAATTTTGCCTTGATCTTTTCTTGTACACTTATCATGCGTATTCTTCAATAGAATACATAAATCGGTGAGCTTACATAAGTTCAAAGCGTGCCGACTGTCCCACGCATGTGCGAGTAACCGGAAATAATGGAAGTGCAGACCTCACGACATCATCGGTCATTATGCAACGCATCGTAAGTCACGGTCGTTGCACTGGCCATAGACACTCACGTTTGATCATAGATACAAAATTATTAATAAATCTAAGTAGAAGTCTAGACGATTGTTACTGGTTGGTGATATTTTTTTAAACATGACAAGAATATGTTTATTATTTTCTCGCAATTAAGGAATATATGGCTTTGTTCTACAATCATTGGATGTTTTACAATCATTGGATTTTGGATTTAAAAAATAAAACTAGTATAGATAAATAGTTTACTTCATATTGTTAGAATGTTTACTCTTCGAACTGTAAATGTCGTCTATTTAGATATATTAAGTTTTTTGTTAAACTAAATCTAACAGAAAGCTTCGGATACCATTTCAAAAACAGCGTTAGCACATACCAAACATAATGCGCTAAACAATTAAAATTGTCTTTCTAGAAAGCCGCTTGCATATTTTACAAGACAATGCGTAGAGCTCGACATGTCTATTTGAAAGAAATTCTTAACAATACGTTGTACAATACACGAATGACTGTCAAAACGTTGACAAAGTTCAAAACTGTCGTTTGTCTTCATTTTATAAAAAAAAAACATGAGATAAAACAAGAAGAAGATCATGTATTTTTAAACTTTTAAATTATGGTATTAAGGTATCGAATGTAGGAACTAAAAGCGGCCATACGCTGAGCTATCAGGTCGTTGGGAGCACCTTCACAATACACGAGTGAAACAAACATGCGTGTGCGTTCCTAACGCATTGCTCATTGCTAGTAACGCACATCGTCAGGCTCTCGATATAATAACAAATGCCAATCGAGTAACATAAAAACTACAACACGTATTGTTAAATTCCTGTTTACAAATGTCCCATTTCAACGTGTGTATGACAACTTTACAATGGAAGTTACAAACTTACTCTTACTAATATTATAAATGCGAAAGTTTAGGTGGATGGATGTTTCTTAGAGTTTGTAGCCTAAACAGCTGAACGGATCTCGATGAAATTTGTCATAGATGCAGAGGATAGTCTAGAAGAACACATAGGCTACTCACTTTTTTTTTTTTAATTCCACGCGTACGGATTCTCGCACGAAAGTTAGTATCAAAAAAAATGTTACGGCTTGAGCAGCTATTGTAATTTTTTTCGTTGTTTTTAATATTCGTTGTTATAGTACATATATGGCTGAGTCTAAGCCCCGTATTAAAAAGCCAAACGCATTTTTTATTTATTTTTTTTACATTACAATTATTTTTTTAGCTAATAATGCATTCAATTCATGCTGTACGAACGTAGTACCGTACAGAACCCACACGAAGTGCAAACACGTCTGTCATACTAATTATTATTTTCTTTCTTTTAAAGAACTATATATTTAACATGAGATTAAAGTTAGAACATAGTTTGCGATAACACCATTTATATCCAATAATCTTATTATAGAATAAACATATTTCATTAGTATTTACCCTTTAAATAATAATTTTACATCACTGACCTATAAACTAAGAAGTTATAATCGGATAAACCTTTGTAATCTAATCAAAACTAAATTAACCTTTTGTTAACCAGAAAACTCGAAATGTATTATTGGTATTTGATGAGTAATCCTCTTTAAACCTAAGAAATACTGCTTAACAAACATTTATTTATCTTTTTTAATATTAGTAAAGCATAAACAAACATATGTCCAGCTCATTCAAGTTTCATCGACATACTTAAACAATCAGCCAACTTTATGATATTTCTTCAGAACTTTGATGATGGACTTATAATTACTACAACCGTAGTTTAAACAGTATAGAACCGTACATAATCTTTGACAATAACCGGAAGACGTGACCGTAAAATTGACTAAAGGACACTTTAATTTTATTTGATAACAACATCCTTTTCATACGCTATAATTAAGTATTTAAATATACAATAACATACGACGTAAAATAACAATTGCCAATCTAACTTAGGGACTGTCCCACCAAATTGTAAATTGTCTGATAACAATCCAACGTGTAAAATATGCGATGGAAATATCGGATTTTGTTCCCTTATCTGACAGTGATGTTATATTTAAACTATCTGAGCCTCTATCAGCCAGTGGTGGGACAGGCGTTTAATCTATGTTATATTAGAAATGCGAACGTTTAGATGGAAGGATGGATAGATGTTTGTTAAAAAGCAACTACAGAACTCGATGAAGTTTGGCACAGATGTACAACATACTCTGGAAGAATATAAAAGAGTCGTGGATGAAAGCTAGCATGTAGTCGTAGTATAAATAATTTGTATTACATTAAAGGGATAGTAATCTTACATCGCGTACGACAAAACTTGTTTTAATACAAACCAGTTGAAATGATGCGTGATATTTTGGGCGGTCTCGTTTATGTCACAATTCTGTTGCACAACGCTTGTATGTCATTGTAGTGAACAATACAATAAAAACAACGCCTATTCAGTCAACAAACTATAAAAAATTTGGAAAGCAGAATGAATTTAGTAAAACGATCCCACTCCTGGAAAAACTTAAACCTTTAGCTGTTAGATTTTAATTGGAAATTCACAGCAAAGCGGTAAAAAGATGACAATCTTTTTCAAAATGACAATTTTAGCTGCTAGTTCTTAGTACCTACATACTCTTAGATTCATGTCTAGATGTTTAAACCAGACATCAAAATGGTAATTAATTACACTCGTTGAATATTACCAATGGATGAGCCAACGTAGTGGGCTGACTGTGAGGTCCTCGGTAGGGACATGCATAGCTGACGACATAGCATTTTTAACATCATTATGAATTTAGGTGTGTGCTTTCTGGTATATTAAAAAAATATGCCCTTAAAGTACTCGCATAATCACATGTAATAAAAGTTATGAAACAAGCTTCTGTCCGCTTTGATTAACAAAATTTATATTCAAATTCCGCTTTCAAATAACTATGTTTAGTCGAAAAGTAATAGAGCTCAAGGTTCTATACTTCCGTACCCGAATATCGTGCACTGCGTATTGCACCTCCGCATTGTTGCCGGCAGACCGTATCAGTGCTATCAGGTGTACATCCCACACGTCGTCTTACAATTAAAAAAATAATAACCACACTTCGTGCAGGATACGTTCCTATCCGTTAAACGCATAATATTAAGACAAAGTAATTAAAGACATAGGAAGGATGCAACGCCGAATTAAAGAATCCCTTTCCTCTAACACGAATGATAGAGGAAATTGGTATTAGAACCTTACAATCGAGGATTTGAAAATATCCTGATTACAATAATTAATAGTTTTGTGTGTATAAACAATCGAAAATTTTCGATTTGATTAAGCAGCAACTAAATTGATTAATTGGTTTCGTATTTTTGTAACTGAATTTGCAACTTTGCGTGAAAAATTACAATAATTCAATTGTTGCCCGCGACTTCTTTAGAATGGAATTAATGCGTTTTGTTTTCTGCGTTTCTTTGGATCCGTACAACAGTAACGTGGTAACAAACATCCATACAAACTTTCGTATTAATATTATTAGTTTAGTCAAATAAAAATAAAACATTGTAGTAAATATTTTCTTCATGCTTTTAGTATAGTTATTGTTCAAGTGGCAATATACCACAGGCGTAGCGTGGTAAACGAGGGGTCACGTCGCAAGTCCTGAGACCATAAGACCATAACAAAGTCGAGCGGCTGTGTGGCGGGGTGGCGCGGGCAAATGCACACGGCGCAGGACAATGACCTACACCGCATTGACTTACTACCTTATAACAATAACGATCTCTTCCTTACGGGATAGTTTTGTATCCTTTAATATTTCTCTTTGTGCATACAGCATTTTTGAGAATTGGAAGTGTACTTTTTGTATTTAATACAATTATTTGTATAAATGGATTGTTCTTAAATATAGCTAGATTTTGTAGCTGAATATCCTTTATAACGGTATATGCTTTAAGGTATAATAAGGTGTGTATTATTCAATTCTAAATTAGCTACATCATGTTTCTTATTCTATTCTTTTATTATTCAAAACACAGCTTTATCATGACAATATGACAAATTTGTAATGGAGAGTAATATTGTAAAACCGTTTACATATTTTTTCATGCATGTTATTGAAAACAATATCTAAATTAGACAAAGTATTTAGTTGGGTTTGAAGATCACAAAGGACGAACGGATATTTTTTTACACCTTCATACTACAAACCGTTGTATTCTCCCGTCGCATCAAAGATATAGATTTGAGCTAATGTTATATTACATGAAATTGTTAACCTAAATTTGTAGTTATAAATGATTTAAAAGGTAAACATAATGCACATCTACGACCTTCGAGTAATTCAAAAACTGCGAATTAATATTTGCTTAGGTGCACGTTATACGAGACATACAGGACAGTGGCCAAACTATTAAAACTATGATATGTAGAAATATAGTTGTAAACGCATTCTCGACCTTTTCCCCTTGAGTTAAAGTTACAAATTATATGATGCGTTCAACTGGTACGCATTCTATATCTTTGTACATTTTCTACAACGTGGTAAGAAATTCTCGATTTGATTGCATATTATGTAGAATTAAAGTTTTTATTGAATCGTCCACACGTGATACAAGATTATTTTAAAAAAGTTTGCAGTGCTAACGCTTTAAGCATTTTTTTAAATCCTAATTAAAAAGTGTTCAATACGATTAAACAAATGTTCGGGACAAGACCGACAATGAATCTAGTTGCCGCAGAAAATCATATTCTTCTCACGAACGCTCCAAAACCAGATGTAGAAACGTACGTATTACCGTTTTCGCATAACAGTAGCATTATTATGTGAAACGAAGTCACTCGAATAACGTTAACGTCAGCAGGCTTAACTTTAGAAAATTAAGAGAAAATTTAACATGTGCCTTTTCTTTGACTGCAAAACTTCTCAAAAATACGATACACTTATCCTAGAATATTAGCAAACTGACGTCTTCTTACGTAGATACTTCTTACTTGTCTTAATAAGTGTAATTTCAAAAAGACCACTGATAACAATTTAATGAAGAGGTTATAAAGATCTATAGCGTGTTTTAGCTATTACTTGCAATATCAGTGTGTTTAGTGTGTGACGCAAGCGTTTATATTATTAAAATTCAGATCTTCGGAATGGGTCAAATAGTTGAGCATTTTCTTATATCACAAGTGGAAAACGAGAGACGAGGCAATTTGCAATAGACATTTTGAAATAGCGAAAAGATATGAATTACGCTGAACATTATCAGCAGATTTACATTCCTTTAATATACATTGTTTATGACAGTTGAACGCTTTAGTTGGAAAATTCAAACATTTTTGTTTTATAACTTCAGAGGTGAAAAACTGTACGTGACTGCGGACAAGAGAGGAGAGAAAGGCGGCTGCAAGCGACCGCTATGCTGGACGCTCCTGGGGCTAGTTGTTGCAACCATTGTCGCTCTAATAGTGCTAGCAGCCAGTAAGTACTTTGTTTATACACATTACTTCCTTTAGATACTAATCTTCCTTAATAACAGGTCTTTACAAACTATTCTATATCAGGCAACGTGTTTGATGATTTAATCAATATGTAAAGAATAAACTGCAAAGTATTTAAAACAATATCAATTGTTTCCAGCTGGAATACTCTTCACTAACTCTCCTACGCCTCTCGAGCCATATAATGCATCCGTCAGCTCAGCGCGCGCGCTCGGCGGCATCTCCAACGTAATAAACAACGACCAGAGTCACGAACACGACAGAGACCACGAAATTGACCAAGGACAAGATGAGAATCATTCTCATGTCCACGGACATGACCACGGAAACAATGAACAGAACAGTGAAAGCGAACAATACGGTGAAAATGATCAGACCACTGAACATGGTAACAATCAGGACCAAGACAATAGTCAAGAAGATATGAGCCGTGAGAACCAAGAAATTCTACGCACTCAGTATCGAACGACAGCTCCTTCTGTAGACCAGGGACCACAAATGCAAAATGATGATTCCATCGATCCTTCCTCGGCATCTGAGGAAACAGGCGATAAATCAATTTATGGTGAGTTGAAATACCTGTTAAGTGTAGCATTGCAAAAAAAAGTAATTAATTCTTGTTATTTTTCGACTACTTAAAAATATTGTAAGTTATAACAAATGAATATTAGTATTTCATGTTCACCATAGAGACTAATTAAGTATAAAACCATATGTTGTTTTGTTACAGTACCTCGAACTCTAGAAGGAGAACTAAAAATCGATAACGACGATTTCACCGCTGCCCTCGAAGACCCCGAAAGCGATGGTTACAGAGATTTCGTAACCGCATTCGGTCATGCCCTTAAACAAGTATTATTCAACAAGAATTCAAAAATAAATAAATTAGAGTATAGTGAGAATGACATCGCTCTTGAGATCATTAAAATAAGGTAAACCATACTTTAATAGATTTTTATTAATTTGGAAATAATAACAACCGTTAATTAACATTTTTCTTTGTTTACAGACGGGGATCAATAATTGTTACTTACAGAATCCATTGGGATCCTAAGTACAATACTCAAACTTCAGACAACCTTCTTACACCAAATACATTGAAAGAGAGTTTGGACTTGTATTTAGCACAAAACAATAGAATGATTAGTATTTACCACATAGCTGAAGACGAAATGGCCACAAGACGAATTTTAGATATATGTCAAATAAATAAAAACGGCTGTGATTATGGATGCCAGTTCGACAAGAGAACCTTAGACTTTACATGCACTTGTCCTCCCGGACAAATTATTGATATGAAACAGCCCAAAAAGTGTATGTTACTCTTTGACAATCAGGATCAAATGAATAACAACTTCACATCGGACTTGAGCACAGTGACCGCAAACCCCAATGCTCTAGATGTCAAACCCAATACAGAGACTATATATAGCAAACAAACTGCGCCTCCACTTTCAGAAACTACAACAGAAAATGATTCAGATGTAAACTTCTCACACATATTTGGTAGCTCGCTGAACGAAAATGAGAAACATGTTACAGAAAAACATCAACCGGAAGAACACAATAATATGGGTACGCAATACATTACTTTCTTAGAAACAACTCAACAACCCAGCACTGAATACGCAATGATAGACAAGTTTTCGAAAAATAACGAACCTATTGCAGAACCCGAACCGACATCTGAACCCCAACCTGACGTGAAAACTACAGTAGCTGCTTTCAGCTTTGATCATACAACTCCAAATAAAGACATGCAACCTAAACCAACGTCAATGCCTGAGTTTACTAGATCATCTGAACCACAACCTACGCCTGAGCCTACTACTGAAATGTTCCTATATCAAACAACTGAGACTAAAACTCCATTTGTTGTAGGAAATGTTCATTTTAGTGAATCTAACCAAATGAGAAACAATAAAGATTTGAGCGAAAATGATAATTTATCAACCACCGAAGCATCTTCTTTTACTCATCATATTCATCACAATCATATGACTACAACAATGTCTTCTGATATAGATACTACTCAACCTGAAATGAAGTCTGAAAAGTATATCCAAGAAACAACTACGGAAAATGAGTGGCTTGAAGACTCAAGTGAAAAATCACAACCTTCTAAAAGCGAGAAAAGCAGTACAGTGATATATGAAAGATCGTCAAAATCATATGAATCCGTATACGAAACAAGTCAAAATCCAACAACTATACAAAGCACTGATAAAGAAATAGAATCCTACACTAGAAGCGGTATAACTAAAGAAATACTAAACGAAGGAGATCATACTATTAATGCTGTATCAATATCACAATTCCTTGGAAAGAAACCTGGAGAAGAAACAACGATGAATAGTTTAATAGATACGACAGTCTCGGTATTGACGGGAATAGAAGAAAGCCGTCATTTCTTTCATAATGATACCACAGAGATTAATATAACCGGGGAAACAACACCCAGCCAAATTTCCATATTCGGTGCTACATCAGGAAGTTCCACGATGCATGATCATGGAGACCCGACTACTCCAGCCTTCGAAACAAGTACTGAATATTCTATTGCAAAGCAAACTAAAGACGTAAATATGTTAGATCCAAACTTTATGACAATTCTTAAAAATACAAACAATACCCAATTTGATAACAATATGAATTTTAACGCGACAACTGAAAAAGATTTTGCTGAGGGTGACATTACCTTTGATGCTATTAATAAACTGTACAATCGGTCATCTAAATCTTTTGTAAATGACAAAGAGCATGTGGCAATTGGAACTGAAGTAAACGATATGTTTAAAGAAACCACAGAAACTACAACTAGTGCAGATTGGTTGTCTGAAACCGTCACAGAAATAAATTATCAAGATATCATCGACGAAAATAAAAACAAATTAACAACAGAAACATCTGCAACTAAATTAGATGAAATAATGAGCCGAGGTTTAAACAAAGACGACTTTGAACCAGATTATCTAAATATGGGCTCTAACACCACTAAAAACGTAGAACATGACATGCCTCAGTACGGCATGCTTCACGATTACGATAATGATGATTTGGTGGTTAAAAGGGTGAAAAACGCTCCTGGTTCAATGCTTGAAGAGACTACTGCAATGAACGCAGTGGAAATCGCTTCTAAAGAAAATCAAATGGAAGAATTAACTCCTATACCCACAGTTGAACCTATTATGACTTTTCAAACCACCACAGTAACCGATTACATATACAAAATGTTGAATGAGTCTAACGAAAACGTGAATTCTACAACAAGTACAACACAAGCAGTCCCTCAAGTTTGGGAAAACTCAGAAGATGACATGAACTTTATTAGAAACCTGGCAACTTCAGTTGTAACAGAAGCTGTTTCAGACATTACAACTACATTAGCCACGACGGCTATAGATAATATTGATAAAAGTAATAACGAAAATTTGATAAACGTCTCAGAATCGAACATGCAATCCAATAACGTTTCTCAGGCAAATAATTTAAATGTTAACATTTACGAAATATCTAGTCACCCTGACAACCATACTACGGAATCCATAAATCATCAGCCAGCTGAATTTGTAGTCCACGAAACCGAGATGAATCCATTTTTACCTGAAACAGAAAATAACAAGAGTCTAGTAAAGAAACTGCAAGAAGGTCATGACTTGGAACCATCTAATGTAAATGAAACGCAAAATGAAAATTCAGAGGATCAGATGCATCGCGTTTCCGACGAAAGCACTGCGGTAATAAATCAAACAGACAGTAATGTTACAACATCTGCATTAACAGAAAACACAACTTTGAAAACCGAAGATAATGAAGCGATATTAAAGGAAATGTTGATGCACCAAGATATTGCTTCTAATGAAGAATCATCACGAACATTAGGAGAAAACAGTAAAGATATGGAAATTACTACATCCATTGATGCACTGGTCGATGATACAAAGGATTTATCTGTTCAAAATGATGTAGTACCTCTAACAACATTTTTATTAGACACTGACGATTTAGACACTACCAAAGATCCTTTTGAAAGGGAAAATGTACAATCTGGACTCGTTGGAAACCAAGACACAACAACGATGTCGATTACAATTCCTGAAACTACTCCTACTACAGATAATAAAATAAAAATGAACGATAATAATGACATACTTAGTGTAGTACCGATAGAGCCAGAAGTTATTAACGACCAAGAAAATTTGAAGAAAAACTTCGACGGAGAAAACATCGCTGAACTAAATCAAATAAGTGATTCACCCAAAAAGAGTGACAGAAGGACATTAGATTCGGACAATACTAACTCTCTTATTTATAATGAGGCGTAGTGTACGTATGTTTTTAGTAATATGCAATAAGTTTGTACATGACTTCATTCCCTGTGATTCTGTCGAACAATATTAACTAACATTCTTTGAGTACCGATGTAGTGTTGAATGTGTAATGAATGAAAATTGGGCATTTTCCTACATTTCCTAATTACATTGAATCCTGTTTACTATAAAGACAATAAAATATATTTTGCATTAGACTAGTCAAATTGTAACGATCACGATGAAGATCGTGATAAATTTAGATTATTTATTATTTGAATGTGCTCATATGCATGACCAAAAATCATGAAACATTCTCCCTTGCGCTAACTTTCACAGACATACTTTATTGCATTCTATTATAGATTGTTACCATAGATAAATGTATATTATATTAATTTTAATAAAACTTAATTTTGGGATATAGAATAAAAGAAAATATTCAAAGATTAAAAATGACTTGTCTTGAAAGGATACTGCCATGCCTGAATGTGATAACATGGACATAAATTATAATATTATAGTAATTTCCATTCGTACATAAATATCCAGAGCTTGGTGATATTTAGCTGAAGTGATGTCTGATTGTATAATAATTATTATTGTAGATCTTGTTAACTAAGATATATTTTGTATAATATGGTTGAAACTGTAAAGAATTATGTTGTAAATAAATTTAAAGTTAATAATTAACTATTGTTTTTCATTTAAAAGCTACTGGTGACACAAGCGTCAAACTTTATCTCGAAATACCCTACTAACGTCACAAAAAACTTTTCCACAAAATATAAAAAAGATAAATACAGGTGTGAAATAAAAAATGTATTTTTAAAATGCTTTTATTGTCAAAAATAAAGTTCAAATAACAAATAAATTTGTATTCATCGTATGGCACTCAATGAATATGTAAAATGTATAACAATGAAGTATCTAAAAATCTCACTTATAACTGCTAACATCGAAATAAGGCACTTCTACATGATCACAAACACATCGTAGAATCATTTGGTTGAGGTGTTATTTCTTCTATTTCTTGACTGGTCATTTGTTGGTCATCTATTAGCATTCTGGCACATAGACAATCCTCACTAATCGTTCCATTTCCACTTACTATACACGTGCCTAAAATTGCCTTGCAACTGTTGTACGGAATGGTTTCCGCATTTAGACATTTAGGTTTAACCTCCGGTTTTGTGTTGACATTGACAATTCCTTCTAAATCTGAATCGATCGTATTAATTACTTTAATGATACCATTAACGCCGTACTCAAATTCTGGCATACATGTATCAACTTTTTTCTCGTCCACTATTTTGTCTCTTTTCGATTTTACATTAGAACAATCGCAGCCTTCACATGTATTTATTGTATTCTTTTTTTCAATTACATCAAGTATTTTTTTATTTTCTTCTATTGAATCTTTAATAGTATTTGTTTTAACCATTTGATCACATAAACAGTTTCCATTTCCACTTGTATCTCCAGTCACTAAACATTTCCCTAACACAGATCTACAAGTGTTAAAGCATGACATGGAATCACTTGTATCATTCAAGTCAACCTCGATACCAACTTGACAATCGTCAACATTTGTTAATAAGTCACTGGCAGATAAGTCTGTATTCACATTTCTTTCTTTGCTAATCTCGTGGTCTTCAGAAAATGGCGGTAAAAGGAACTGATCGCAAGGAGAACGTGGATCGCCTATAACAATAAATTGTATGTAAATAATGTTAAAATCAAATACCATCTTTGTCCATCTATTATGAACAACAGCATAAAATAAGCTCTTGATTTCCACATATCGAAAACTAAATTATTTATCCTTGTTTATTAATTTTTTAAATCCATACATACCTTCAGACGACGGAGCATTAATAAGAATCTCAGATGACTCAATAGGAATTACAGGAACAGGTACTTTTTCTATAAAAAAGAAAAAGAAATGATTAGAAGTCTAAAACAATAAAATTACATTTATCACCAAAAAGGTTTTGCTAGACTTTGTTGGCTTGAAATTAAAAAAAATATAGCCTATGTTACTCACAGATGAATTACGTTTCTAACAGTAAAAGAATTTTTAAAATCGGCCCAGTAGTTTTTGAGTTATTTGAATACACATTAAAATACAAATCTCTCCTCTTTACAATATTAGTATAGACTAGCTGCTGCTCGCGACTTCGCCCGCGTGAAATTAAAAAATAATAAAAAGTATGTTTCTCACTAATAACATGGCCTAGTAATGGAGAAAGAATTTTTTAAATCGACCCAATGGTTTTTGAGTTATTTCAATACACATAAAAAGACAAATCTTTCCTATTTACAATATTATAGATTACTTACTATGTCGAGCGAGGTGTCTCTTAAGAGCCGATTCAGAATTGAACTTTTTCGTACAGTTTGGCATTTCACACAATAATCTCTTAGTAGCTTCATGTGTTTTCATGTGTACCTTTAAATTGTGTGATTGAATGAACCCTGGGAAGACATTGAAATTAAATAATACACACATCCATAGCCTAGAGCTAGAGTAATAAACAGATATTATGTTTTCTATTTGGCTCAATAGCATATATTTTGCTTACATCAACCTCACTCTCAATATTAACACTTACAACTGAGATAAAACTTTTATTAAATAAATAATTCAATACTAAGATTAGTTAAGATATCACACATAATGTAAAAGAGGTTTAGGCTAAGCGCCATCTGCGCTCTGCCACCTCAAGCCCGGTGAATCTCTAAATGCCTCTTCAAGGCAAACAGTGACAACTCTCTCAAAAAAAAAATATCACAATAAAAACACAAGTTGGGCAGAACAGTACTGAAGTTCATGATGTTGCAAAAGAAATTTAGGTACTAAGTAGCTTAATTAAGGTCTGATTAAGATAACTGCTTATCTAATGTATAAAAAAATTGCAGACTCATTTTTTAAATATTTTGTACATTGCTATATGGTTACAGTTAGTTATTTTTATTATATACTAGTTGTTCCCGTGAGGCTTCATCTGCATGGAATTATGTAAATTTTATTTCGATGTTTAGATTTGTCAAATTATCAATAGCAAAAGTCAAAATGACATGACATGACAAACCTTAGCAATCTTGCTTTCTTGATGTTGGCAACAACATATGGTCCCTTTCCCACATTAGGGTTTTAATCCAAAATATTTAATCCCTAAGTTTAATGCCGTGAAAATATATAGCCTAAAGTAAGTGTAGGGCTTTTTATTAAAAAAAGAATTATTCAAAAATATGCTGTAATTGCTGACATCTTTGGCAACAAAGTGTTTATGCTTTATAATAATAGTATAGATTCACATTATTTCTCTATAGGTTATAAGTTATGACATAACAATAGTATGACTGTACACTTTGTACTTCTACAACATTTTATTATATCATAAAATCCTATAATGAATGTTTCTAGAACAATTATCCACTTCTTTAGTAGATGCATATTAATTTAAAATGGACATAACTTTAAACTGTAAATAGTAGATCCATTAAATTGATAATACATGAATTCATTAATATTTTATGCTCGTAATCTCTTTATCTAAGTTGAAGATGTATTTTCAACAAGTTTTGACTTTGGGTCACTAAATAGTTACTTACAGTCCTTTCCATAAATACTACTTACCTTTCCCACAAACATTACAAAAGTGCTGTCGACTGTTTGTGTGCGTCATCTCATGGTATTTGAGGTGATGAGAGAAGTTGAATGTTTTGTTACAATCAGTATATCTACAGGAATATCTCCTCTCTGACTTTGGTTTGTGTGTTAAGGTGTGAACGCGGAGAGCCTGGTCACTACTGAACTGTGCCTCACATACTTTACAAATGTGTGTACCTGTAATATAGATGCCAATATTATAAAAATCTTTGAAATGGACTTTAATTTTTTAATATCTTACAATGAAATAAAAGGCTTAGTTTATCACAAAAGGAATATTGTACTCTATTGTTCTGATAACAAAAGAGTAAATTCAACAGCAATTAATTTACCTTCATGTGCATATTTCATATGGCGTTGTAGAAGGACTGTATCTTTGAAGCTGTGGTCACATTTATCACATTTAACTGTTCCCGTCCTTTCATGTTGCTTCTCGTGACGCTTTAAAGCAGAACTAAAAATACAAATGTCTAATAAATTAATAGTTTACCACGTGAACCTAGTTTACATAAAATGAACTTACATATACGTGAATTTTTTACCACATTTATTGCATTCAAATCCTGGTAAGTGACTCAGTTCATGTCTTTTGCGTTCACTTTCGTATTTAAAAACTTTACCACAACGAGTGCATTCAACCATGCTATATAAAATTGATAAACACAATTGTTTATAAGATTGTATTTGTATAATCTTCCTATTCTCTCCCTGAAATTTACCAATCACTATTTTTACTTAACTGTCCGGATTTTGCATATAACTGTTTAGTCATACGACCAACTTTGTATAAATAAATTCAAGTGAGAATAGGTATTTCCCAATAAAAAATATGTTTTCTTCGTTATCAGATAACATTATGACAATGTCGATTGACGTTTATTTTGACATTTGACAATGCCATCCAAGAGTTTGACAGTGACATCCTTTCATGTTCATCAACTTTAAAAACTTTTTGCACTTTTATAATAAAACACTGAAATATAATTATTTATGTGCAAAATTATATATTGATATGTTATAAAATTTAAAATCAAGCTTAAAACTTCCCAAAAAAATAATCTCAAGGTATTCCCAAGGCATATAAAAAACACTAGTTGAAAGAAAGGCTTATGATTAGAACGAAACATCTGAATGTCAATGTCACTTGAACTGTAATCCTGTAATCTAATGTCAGAAAATGGCAGTAGTATATTTACATTTGTTTTTTAACTTATTGTATTTATTTCTTTGCTTTGTCGATTGAAAAATATTTGTGAATAATCAATACCATTTTATGGCCTAGAAAAGTCGTTCACAATCAACAAAAAACATAAATAATGCGTGCTAAACAAAATATTTCGAAAAAATTACGTAAGTTTTGCCGGCGCATCTTAATGTCGCAAGCAAAAAAAACAGAAGATATCATTTTACAGTATGAGAGTGTGAACGTTAACACGTATTTGCCTGCAGGGACTGCTGGCTAAATTAAATATTCGACATTTTAAGTTAATTGTTATAACTGAAAATATTTATTGAAGATGAAAGAATGGATCAAGATCACCTTGATTTTGTGCGCTTTCGGCACTTTGAGAGAAATTAGACCGTCTGAACCTTTTGTTACCGAGTTTTTACTTGGAGAATGGAGAAACATAACTGAGAATCAATTGAATCAAGAAGTTTATCCTGTAGGAACATATTCATATTTGGCTCAACTTGTAGTTATATTTTTGATAACCGATTTTTTACGATTTAAACCTGTCATCATAATTTCTGGTAAGTAAAAGAACTAATTTTTATTGAAAAATGTTTCCCTCAAACTAGTTTATTGAAAATTTCTTCAATATTAAACTTATAACAAGATGAACTTTTACATAAAAATAATAGTTATTATATTTAGCAAATGTATTTTTCACATAGATAATTAATTTCAGGACTAAGCGGTATTTCAGTTTATGCAGTATTGCTATGGACTGAGAGTCTACAATGGCTGCAAGTTTCACAGTTCTTGTATGGAATGTATATGGCTACTGAAGTGGCATATTTAACGTATATTTATGCCAAGGTAAGTCTGAAACTAAACTAATTTTGATATTACATATGTTTCTTTCCAATATAACACAAGTTTATTAATAAGAAACGTAGGTGAAAGAGGGGTGCCCACTAGTTTTAATTTTCAAAAAAAATATTCCCATTAAAATTCTGATATAAAGTGAAGTGAAACAATTCTTTTTACAAATGTATTAGTTTAACCCAAATCCTGTTGAAAACAAATTTGTCAAAATTTCTTGAAAACCATACCTTTCACTTTTTATTATTAATGTTTTTGAATATAACAGCACTTTTAATAAATATATTTACATGTTCTTAATTAATGGAGTAAGTATAGATATTTAAAAAAAATATCATTATGTTGGTAATAATAAAAACGCCACCTCAGTACATATACAATTATTGACTTATCATATTTTGTTATAACTTTAAAGAGACTTAGTTTGTTATAAAAAAATGTGTTATTCAATTGTTAATATTTATGCAATTCTAATGTACATATTACACAACATATTTATTGAATGTTTACATTATCTTGTCTGATACATTAGTCAAAATGTATAGGGTTTTTGTATAAAAGTTTTCTGTCTTTCAAATAATATTCATACTTATGTTATAAAGAGAAAAGATTTGGGTTTGTATATATTGGATTCATGTAAAAACTACTGGTCCAATTTTAAAGATTCTTTCACCATTAAAAAGCTACTTTATCCATGTCATATGAATATTATTTGATTGTGTAGCTATATAAACCATCATGCAGATATCAAGTTGTAAATATTTACATATTGCATTTACATGTCTTGTGCCCGCAGATAAGGTGTGTTAACACACCTGTGTAATTTAAAACATCAGGTTTAAATGTGTTTCTAATATAATTACCTTGATTAAATTTTAGTTATCACAATATTGAACCAATAAATTCTTTTTAATGTTGCCATTTTTTGTCTATCTAGGCTTATTGATATTTTTATGTCTTGTTTTAGGTAGACTCAGCTAAATATGCCGCGGTGTCTTCATATACGAGGGTAGCGGCTCTCACTGGTCGTTTTTTATCTGGACTCAGCTCGCAGTTACTAGTACATTATGAACTCATGGATTATAGAGATCTCAATTATATAACATTTACAGGTATTTATATTCTATATGAATAACATTTAACAAACATCCATCCATCCATCTAAACTTTGACATTTATATAATGTTAGTAAGAAGGAAGACAAATAGTTCTTTCATTTATAAGCGAATAAATAATATTTTATTTTATGCATGGATATTATTATTTAAACAGATAATAAACGCGACGATAAGAATCCCTAATCAACATTAAGACAGTGATATCTTTTTAGCAAAAAGATTCATTGCATTATGAATAAAAGATAGTGTATCAGAAATAGATATTTTATGAATTAACTTGAGTTAATTGCAGTTTGACGAGCGACGACGAGCGCGGTCAATATCAATTGACTTTTTCATCAATGGAGCTATTCTATGACTCGTATACTAGCAGTAAATTTGCTCTTAATTACTTCGTAAATTTAAATCGTACCTAACTAGTGACACACCTAATTCGCGAATAAGTATCCTACAGTTTTTTAGATTTTCTCATTCTATACTAGGGGTTGCACGCGACTTCGTCTGCATGGAATTAAAAAAATATTGAAAAATATAGCCTTAGCCTATGTCACTCACAAATAAATTACCTTTCTAATGGTGAACGAATTGTTAAAATCAGCCCGGTAATTTTTACATTAATCAAATACACAAAAATACATATTTTTGCTGTTTATAATATGAGGATAGATGTAGAGGGGCATAGGTAGATCCTAAGAGCGAAGAACATTACAGATTTCCATTTGGCTGGCATGTCTACGTCATCGTAGTGCATAGGTTTCCGATGCTCATAATTTAGTTATCAAAGATTTAAAAGGTTCAATAAGTTTATATCTTGTTGTCCTTGTCATTTGCTCGCAAAATATGGTGATAGAAGAACTTTTAAATTCCAGCTCAGATCCTGGCGTCGTTCTGGGCGCTGTGGCTACCTTCTGTCCCCTACGGCATATACTTCCAGCTCAACGCAGTTACAGATGTGGTGCATAAGAATACACCCGACGATATAAATATAGATAAGGTGTGCACCTTTTAATTGTCACCAAGTGTAAATTACGAAGGATTTTTTGCCTGATCGCTTCAATCATTGTCGTTGATTGTAAACACTTTTCATTAACATTTTATTCTTTAAGAGACAACGGCGGATCCAGGGGGGGTCATGGGGGTCGTGACCCACCACCCTTTGCGCTGGTTGGTCAAGAGGTTGATAAAATATATTTACATATTTTGTCAAGCTCTTGACTTGACCAACCCCCCTCCCCCCCCAGGTGCCAAAGGGACTTTTAACCGTAAATTTTAAAATTCATTTATTTATACAACAATGTCTCTTCTACCATTAATATTAATAAATCGTGATCATTTCACTTAACATCTTCATTACAATCAGTATTAATAGTTTTTTAATTACTTTACTTATTGTAAAAAGCTATCTTACATTGTATGTTTGTTTATTGACTAAAACGACTTGTTGCTTTACCAGTTAAAGTAAATTCAATTTAATTTAACTGCATTGCTGTAAATCATGATTTTAACTATCCTGGAACTTTAGTTTTCTTCGATAGTCATTCAAAGGCACTACGTTCTGGTGTCTCTGATAGTCATTCGAAGACACTTTGTTCTGGTGTCTTCAATAGTCATTCGAATAACACTTTCTTCTGACAACTTCGATAGTCATTTGAAGAAACTGCGTTCTGATGTCTTCGATAGTCATTTAAAAACACTTTGTTCTAGTGTCTTCGATAGTTATTTGAAGACACTTTGTTCTGATGTCTTCGATAGTCATTTGAGGACACTTTGTTCTCACGTTTTGAGTATTAACATATTGAACAAAAAGTCGACTGGTATTTCGGTGTGGTAATGGCATTACATAACTTAGGTTCCGTCTCTAACCGGGGACCTATAGTTATATGGTAATTTGCAGCGTTCGCTTAGTGCGAATATGCGCGAGGCGAGCTCGTTGATAGCGCGACACGCGCGCGCTGCGTACTCGCGGCGCAGCGTGCTGGCCTGGTCCGCGCTGTACGCCGCCGCGCTCGCGCTCTTCGTGCAGGCGCAGACGTACGTGCAGCTGCTCTGGAAACACATACAGGAGGAAAGTCACACTCCAGTAAGTCATACTAAATACTATATCTTACTAATGTTATGAATGTAAAGGTTTAGATGAATGTTTGTCAGAGTTTTTGGTCTAAACGGCTGAACGAAATTTGTTAGATGTAGAGAATAGTCTGGAAAAACACATAGGCTACTTACTTTTTTTTAATCCATGCGGAGTCGTGGGCAAAAGTTAGTACTATTTATTTTAAAAAGGTGACCTAGACTACTTGTATGATATTTTGGTAATGAGTACAAATTGAATGAAATTATAAACTCGTAACAACGTTAATTTTATAACAAAAATTATAATGTAATCTGCCAGTTATTGGCTGAAATGTGAGCTTTCCATATTTAAATGACAAGGTGCTTTGTCATAATACCTTATCATAATACGAAACTTGTACACTAGATTCCATATCTAGTCTGGAATGCTATACACAAATCTGACTTAATTTATTTTGTGGCTGCATTCACACTATCTTATTTACATCTTTATATTCATCTAAGTATTATTCTTTCTTATCTAAGTATGCATATATGGTAATTAAGAGATTAGATTATCCTGTATCAAGAGAATGTTTTATTTATATGACTGCGTATCTTAACGTATTGTATTACGCATATTGCGCATAGTCTGAGTATGTTGTGTTAGAATTGGAATGTTATTAGAGGATGTTTAAGACACAAATATGATATTGAACATTCAAACAATGATATAAAAGTCGAATATTACTGTTAACTGCGTAATTTTTTCAAAACGTTCGAAAAAATAATTTTTAATGATGAATGAAGATCGCTGTAATAAAGGAAAAATAATCTATTATTCAAATTTATGTTTTTTTGTTGAATGTTGTGTATATACAAGTGAGCATTTAAATTTTAAAAATAAAACTGCAGATTTTTGTATTGCAGATTTGATTCCAACTAATTAATTGGAATGGTTTAAAGTAATACAAATGAAGTAGGAATTCTTAAGCTAGCAATAAGGTAAAATAGTCAATTTGTGAGAGTCAAGGACATCCCCAGCCTATAATATAGGTCTTTAGATACCATAACATATGTAAATCACATATAGGTTTTTTTTTATACAAATAGGTTGCAAACGAGCAAGCGGTCACCTAAATCCGCCAAAATGGCGAAGCGACCGTTGCCCATAGACATCCGCAATTGCAGATGCGTTGTCTA